TGTATAGCATTTCCTTCTTTTCTTGAAAAAAAGTGCATCAAATGATAAAAATGCATTTCATCCTTAAGAACATTTAAAATTCAGTATCTACATGCGAATCATACAGAAAGAAGTGTTAAATTGTCACCTTTGTGGATATGTATACGATGTGTGATCAAAATGTATCAGGACTGTTGCTATGGCAACGGAGCTAAAGTACGCAGAGTAAAGCTGTTTAGCACATATTGACCTTGAACTCTGTCGCACATGCACACTAAGTTATGACGTTCTCGGTCGCTTCTATCGTTTATAGCAGTGCTTGGAAGGAAAGTGTGTAGAGTGTGGTCGTTTAACCACATCACAGAAGTTCCATCAGTGATCTTGGCCTGTGTAGCAGTTTTTGACCAAGAACAGCATTCCGCAAATCCGAAAACCACCATATTCCTCAGATCTCGTACCTTGCGGCTTTTTCTTCATCAAAAATCAAACCCACTAGAAAGGAACCAGATTTCAAGACGTTGAGAAAATCCAAAAGAATGTAATGAGACAGCTGCTCACTCTCCCCCAAAAAGGAAGTTCCAGGAAGGCTTCCATCCATGGAAACGACGCAGGGTAAAGTGTATGGCTTCAGAAGAGGACTACTTCGAAGAAGATGAAATTCTGGACTGATATGTGTTATAGTTTTCTTTATATAGCATCAGTCCTGATCAGACCTTGTATATATCATAAATTTCAATCATGTGTGAAACGAAATCACGTGTTCAGACGCCATCTATTGAAATACAATGATTACTTTTGTTTCGGTTCAATATTGATACGCTGCTTCATAAATAACAGTCAACAAATAAAGTATTATGTTTCAAAAGGATGCTGTTTACTATTTACCGATGAGCAAACATCATATTTTGCTTTCTACAACTCCTGACCGTCAGTCAAACCTGCTATACCTTGGCTGCAAGAATATTTTAATTCTTCAGATTTTAACAAATAGTATACAGTTGGTGCAGTAAAATCTTTCAACTCTAGACGCCATTTTTATAGAAACGTCAAGTATATAAGATTTCGACAGGAAAAAGATTTCCTAGTTTAATGGCTCTTAGATTTCAAAGCCAAAAAAAAAAAAATTGCTAAAATAAAATTAAGTAAGAAATAAAATAAATTTCTCTGTGGCGTCACTGCACGAGAATAATAATCAATGTTGAAATATTTAAAGTAGAAACATTCGATTTTTTCTCCGCCTTTATTTAGAATGAATGCGTATAAGCATTGCACACTGGAGAAACGCAGACGACAGACAAAATGGCTTCTCGAGTCAATTATTTCCATTTCAATTACAAAATGGAGAAGATGTTAATTCTGTAGACGTTGAGGTGGTGCGGGAAGACGGAAGCAAAAGACAGGAAAATTTATGTAGCTACCGAAAGAAAAATAACTTCATACAATGATAATGAGAAAAGACGAAAAAAAGAATGAAACTGCGCCGAGTTGCTCTGAGAATCACGTGATTGACTAATACATGCCTGTCGTATACAAAGCAGAAACTCAATGTTTGATGTATTGGTTCCTGCGAAATGGAATCAAATATTGAAACATTACTTAAGCATTCATGGTTGTGAATTTTGTGCTTATATTCATGCGATATGGAACGTGGCACGGATGCTTTTTTTTTTCTTTGTGGTCAGAATTTTCATTTTGGAAAGAATTAACCAAAGTCTACGAAGACTTGGTTCGATAAGATTCAACTGAAATGGCTACAGCTACATTAATAGAACATTTACTGATGATCAAATTCTCTACATTGCCGAATAGTTTGCGGGACTGGCGCCATGTTGATCGATTTTTAGATGCGTCGATCAAACAGCTGGACTTTGAAGACCGAAAATTAGTCTACAAGTGTACACGGTGTAGTACATAACATATATGGCACTGTTCTCTGAAAACATGAGAGGCCACCATAGGTGTGTTTTTGTTGCGGGAGTATGGTCGAAGTGTTTAAGTCGGAAACACGTATATCCTGCTGTATTTATCCCACAACAAAAATGGCGGACTTGGAATGTGAGTCCAGGTAATAAAATAAAAGAGTAACGACAAAACTATATATATATAAATAAATAAGTATGTAATTACAAAACAAACGTATACATAGAGAATATAATATTGTTGCGTGTTACAAAAACAATGAATAAAAATTAGAACAATTAAAGACTAAAGAATGTGTTTGTCTGTGTGTAAGTCTGGTGTGGGATAAAGTCCTATAGAAAATGAAGTGAAAGGTGCGTACGTACGTGTGTGCGTTCCCAAGTGCGAAAAGCGGTTTCCTCGCTAGACCTACATCTTATCGTCCCTGAGTGAAATAGGAAAAAGAGGAAGACAGAGAATGTCACTCCCTATTTATAGGCTTAGGGAATGTCCCCTAGCGGCGGTTATTTTAGGAAAGTGGAGGCACGGTGAAGTAATGGGTAGCGGCTTGCATTGAGGAATCGGGGAGCCGAGTTCGAATTCCAGTCGGATCCATTACATTCACATACATGTTAATTATACCCTTGGATAAGGTATGAATCCTCTTCTTCTCCCCACTACTAGCTATGGGTAAATAGCAGGACAGACCGGGATAGCCTTGGATGGCAACTGGTCTACTGCATAAAGAAATGACAAACTAGTGCGGAAAAAATTTGCTTCGTCAGCCACGTATCGAAAGATACATGATCGCCTAAACGTGTGTCACGCATGGCACATAACTGACTGAAGTGGGGTAACTTCGCAATACTTTGTTGTATATTGTTCGTTTGTGATGAAGACGTTGGTGAGTGTAATTACTATATTTACTGGATACATGTGTTTTACCCAATTTTTGTCTATCGGCCTGGGTTTTTTGAAAGAGAAGTTACCCATATTTAAGAGGAAACCACCAGTGTGCTTTTAGAGAGACTCCACGGCAAAGCAAGATTCAATAATCCATATGAAGGAAAACACATCTCCTGTTCAGATCTTTCGAAAACCATGTCTTCTGACTTTATTTTCACATTTGAAATGTAAATTCCTAAGGAATTAGAAAATCTTCATTTATGACCCGATATCATCTCTTATTACGATTTTTTACGTATGCAACAAAAGAAATAAGATAAAGAGAAGTAAAGGGAACGACAGTAGACCAACTAAGTTTTAGAGTAAACAAAAAAAAGTTCTATTTTAATTTTAGTGTTTTGTTCAGTGGCTCCAAAAGGGAAAAACATAAAGTCTTACCAAGACGAAGTCAGAAATACCTCAAAATAACTTCAGTCGGAAGTTGCTGGGTTTTGTGGTATAGTTTACATGTCAAGTCAGCAAATGTTTGTAAACTGGCTGCTCTGAAGCAGAGTTCTACAACAACTGACTTTGCCAGCCTGCTCACTTAATTTTTGCGCCAACCAACGAATACGAATATCTGAATGAAAGATCTCCACTTGTAAGTCATCCGTCCACATCAAAGAGTTCTTATACCTAAATAGCCCAGAACTCAGAGACGTTTCTTTCATAAAAATAGATTCTCTTAACGCAGTTACGTTATATATTTATTGTTATGGTCCAATATCCTCGCACCAAAGTTATGGTCCAAGGTTAGAACCAAGGAAGAACACAAAAACACAAGAGTAGAATAACAAATATATATTACAACAGAAATATAGTACAAGAAGTTGAAGGTGTTAGTAATGACTGACCGTCTGGTTTAGAGGGAACTAATATTGTCTCGACTCGTTACACCATTTCTTTATATTTAATATCCCACCCAAGAGGAATATATGTGGCACGAGGCCGAGATTAAAGTGGGTTTCTCCGAGCCCGTAGGGTCGGCCAAAAATATACCCTTTGAACCCACCTAGACGGGTTCAGGGCCTGTCTACCTCCCCGGACGAAACCTTGCCCTTCGGCAAAGCTTCGTCCGGGTACCTCTCTGCCAAAGCAGAGAGTTCAACAGCCATGACCTGGTGCTCGTTACACCATTCATTCATTATACCTCTTGAGAGGCGCAGTATTTATAGTGTCAGGAAGAGTCCATTATCGTTATAGGTAAGTTCCCATAACATTCAGTGAATACACGTCTTTAAATAAACACTGTTTTTTAAGCATTAAAATTTTTCATTTCGTTGGTTTTCCCTTACATAAGGAGGAAGCAAGTTCGAATGCTGCCGAAAGGAATACTTTTTTATTAAGCCCTTCTCTGCCATTCATTTTGGATGTTGTGTCGGAAACCTACCACCCCTCTTGAAGATGAACTTGTCTGCATCTGTGAACAAAGACTTTAAATAGTGGCATGTCAGTTGACATGACGGAAGACAGATAGACCGAGAAGTTCTTAGCTGAGCTAGTTATTGACTACTCATGCGATTTCTGTACCTTTTTACCAACCTATTAAAACCCTTTTTATTGTTACGTGTTATTTGGCGTTTGTCTCTACTAACCCCAAATCAACATCATAACATTGGGGAAAACTTTGCATTTACATACGAATTTTTTTATTTGTTTTTAATATAGTAACTAAGAAACTGGGGTACCTTGAAGTACCCGAGCGGTGGCTAACGCCCCTTCCAGATGTATGAGTTAACAATTGGTCTCGTTTCAAGCTCAGAAGGGCGTAAAAAGAATCAAAATCGACTAAGAAACTGAGGTACCTTGAAGTACCCGAGCAGTAGCTAGCACCTCTACCAGACGAATTGACAATTTGACTCGTTTCAAGCTGAGAAGGGTATGAAAAAAACAAGATCGACATATAAACACGTCTGTAGCTAGGTTTTCAACGTTATGTTTTAGACGTGCTTATTCGTCCGTGTCTGAAAAGGGTTTTTATGGGGAAGAGGTGAAAGACTCTTAAAAACCCTGGCCGATAAACGTCAATTACATGGTTAAAAAAAATATTAAAAAATTTTTTACCCAAACAATTTTATCCACGTTTAAAAAGGGAGTATCTTGTAAAAACTGGCAGACTTGGCGGAAGTTCAATAACTGTCGCTAACACTAACATTTAATAACAGGGAGAAATCTTCTTACGGAAAGAGAAAACAGGGAAAGAGCTGAAAATCGTGTCTCCCGGGGGGTGAGGGGTGAATAAGTGTAATATCCACACGTTTTATGCTTGGCTGTTTCAAAGAAACTTTAAAAGCTTCTGCTATACTAAAAATAAAGAAAAATAATGAAGGCAAGAAAGAACGATCTACCCGCTCAAGTCGTATACCCGGGGTGGAGACTCCTTTCACGGGAAGTAAATAAAAAATATTCCAAGTGCAGAGTTCCATTTAAAAAACTAAATCTGTCAAATACGCTAAGAAATTAAGTAAAATAAACAGAATAAAAATAGCTAGCTAGCCAGATTTGTATGAACAAAGATAGATAGATAGATAGATAGATATATAGAGAGAAACAGAGAGATATGAATAAACAGAGATATATAGAGAGAAACAGAGATATATGAACAAATATAGATAGACAGATACGAACAGACTGAAATAGATATATAGATATGAACAGAAATAGAGAGATAGACATATAGATAGAGAGAGAGAGAAAGAGAGAGAGCAAGAGAGAGAGAAACATAGAACATATGAACAGATAGATAGATAGATAGATATGAACAGAGTGAGATAGATAGATAGATAGATAGATAGATAGATAGATAGATAGATAGATATGAACAGATTGACATAGATATGAACAGACTGAGATAGATAAATAGATATGAACAGAGTGAGATAGATAGATAGATAGATAGATAGATAGATAGATAGATAGATAGATAGATAGATAGATAGATAAGCAGTCTAATCAACGTCTACTGGCCTGTGTTTTTCCAGTGTCTTGATGAAAAAATTATTATAATAACTAATAATAAAATACTAATAAATGAGCAGAAGAGCACATTTTCTTTATTAATTATTATTCCACAGAAAAAGTCAGATAGATGGCTTTATTAAAAAGCAGTATAAACTCTCTTTCTTACATTTTTCTCTTTACCCACAGAATACCATAGCGACAAGACGTGTCTCGTTTCCCTCCGCGGGGCTATTGAGTCCCCAGTGAACGACGTGTCTCACTGTACACAACACACCATACACATGTCTTCGGCTGCTAACTATCAAACTAACAGGAATGGACATCTCTCAATATTTTCATTAAGATTTTACACACAGCGTACGCACGAATAAGATAAGCTCAGTATGCACACTATTTGCCTCTTTCTATATACTTTCTATTTACTTTGCTAAGGTAATAAAATGTTTCTATTAGGTGTTCGATATCTCTTGTAATTTCATTCCCATCTCCTGTCTGAGAAAACTCCCATCCGTTTACAGTATTATCGCTACAATATCGCTCTCGTATAAATATACACCATATGGCAATTCTGCTTAGTTAGCACGACCGTTACGCCCTGCCAATACCTCATAAATAATGAACTATTCTGTTATGATCGCATAGAAAGACAGAAAAAAACATATCAGAGATGCTAGTTGGTTTCAGTGGACAGAACGGAAAAAGAAATATAGGAAAAAAGAAAAAAGAAAGAAAGATAGAAATGTTTAACGTCTGTTTTAGTGAATTAAAAAAAGTTGTCAAATTTTACATTTGTATCCCCTTACTTCTTTAAATGACATTCATATTTATGATTGTTATTGCAATATTTTGAAAGTTGTTAAACTTAAATAATTAACGATGCGTTAGGGGAATTTCTACGGAGATTTTATTGTCATAGAACTCACCACAGGCTTATTCTTCTTTATGTGCTCTGTCCCTTCAGGACGTAGGCGATCATGGCTCTGCATAATTTCCTGTCCTTTGCAGCTCTTAGCAAATTTTGCCTTTTCGTTATTTCTCGCCACACCTATTTTGCCATCCATTTGCTCAAGTCCATCAAATATGTTACACGCTGCTTTTATCTGTGCCACTTTCCCTCAATCTGCCCTGTGAGTATCAGATTTTCCAAGCCCTCCTTCCTCATTACGTGCCCCAGAATTCTCAACTGCCTCTTCCAGATGTTAAATATAAGTTTCCTTTTTATTTCCATTTTCTCTAAAACCTCGACGTTGCTCACATGTTCGGTCCATGGTATCCTCAGCATGCTTCTGTAGAGACACATTTCTGTTGCTTCGAGTCTCTTCTTCATCTGTGAGGAGATTGTCCAGGATACAGGAGGACAGATATTACGTAACAGTTTAGTACTCTTTTACTTGTTTCAAACGAAGTTTTTTCTGTCTCTTAATATTCTGCTTGGCTTTTGGAAGGTATCTTTGGCCATCGCAATACGTCTTCGGATTTCAGTGTCGCACTTTTCACACACCCCTGTTAGAACACTTTTTCAGATATGTAAATTTCTGCGCTTGATTTTGGTATCTCTGATTTGTAATTTGCATTTTGGGTTCATCATTTCGCTAACAACCATGAATTCTGTCTTCTTGCAATTGATATTTAGTCCTTTCTTCTCGCTTTCCTTCACTATCTTCTGTAGGAACATTTGTTGTTTTTTATCCGTGACTGCCATCAACACTGTGTCATCTGGATGTCTGATGTTGCTAAGATTGTGGTCGTCAATAATGAATTATGGAAGGGCATCGAATTCTCTGAGAATTGCATCGGTGTATAGTTTGAATAAGTCAAATAAGAAGACACATCCTGGTCTTAGGCGCCTTTCTATTTTTGTATATCCACTGAATTCATTTTATATCCGTATGCAAGCAATTTGCTGCCAGTCTATGTTCTTGATTATTCTAATGTCTTTCCCAAATATATCAATGTTGCAAAGCAGTTCCAACAGATCTTTGTGGCGTACTTTATCGAACCCCCTTTGCGTAAACCAAAAAACAAAGGCACACGTCCTTCTCCACTTGTATTGCTCGTTCTGATAACATTCTGAGTATAAATATCGTGTTTACGAGCTTCACTCAATTATTAACTGAAGAATTAAGATTTGTCAGAATATTAAATTAGGAAAACCGTGAAATTTGCACAAATATTTCTAGTTAATAATAATAGCTGGACGAATATTTCTAGTTAATAATAAGAGCTGGCGAGTAGGGAGGCTAGCCAATCCCTATTGCAGATGCTCGCTCAGGCACATTTGTGTTTGTTCAACATCCACAGAGCCCAGCTCTTGTTTATACTGCAACTATACTGAGTTCTGGGAGAGCATTATCAACAATCTGAACAATACCAGCACACTCAAACCATCGGTCACGATGACTTGCTCGCACGAACGTGTTCCGTCTACCCAATTTTCACTGACAAGGTACTTTCCTTCCTGACAATTCAACCCTGATGAGATTCGAACCCGGGTCTTATGGCCAGAAAGTGAACTTTCTAACCACTCTGCCACGCGCCCATAGTTAATAATAATACTGACTTGAAAAGGCACATAGACATTTTTATTATTTTTCCTTACAACCATAACTTTATCAGAAGGAAACAGTTGGTATAAATAAGATGACAGATGAGATGACATTCACAGAGAAGCAAAAGTAGTAAATGTGGGGGATAACGACTAAAAACAATTTATTAGTAAAATAATTCACAAATAAAAAGTATTAAATGTTCTAAGTGAGTATTAAAAAGAAGAAAATGTTACTCACAACCCTCTAACTAAGCATAATGAACGAATAAAATTCTCTTTTGCTTACACAGATCCGGTTGGTGTATCTTAATATTAACCGCCTCAATAGTGAGCGGACCGAGCCCTATGTAGAAGAGTGAAAAACATACTTATCAGCACAGTCAGGGCTGTCTAACAGGTGCTGGCGTATTTCTTAATCATGTACAGACTGGGTTGTCCTGGAAGATTGACTGAGATAACCCGATCTTATTGTAGCAGGAATATGTTGACCAATTAATAATAATATTCTTTCAATAAGTGATACTTATCGCTACATAGAATGGTTAAACTTGAAGCAAAACCTAAAGGGACTTGAACCATGTAGATCTTAAAATAAATCTAATTTTGTAAGCAAACTATTGGACATTACTGATAAACTCAGCAATGATTTCGATAGATTCTATCCAAATTTTTCTAAGATGCATGAAGGGGTCTCCTGAAGCTAACCTTAGTTACAAATCAATTATATTGCGGAGTTCAAGTTCTCGCCATTCAATAACAGCGGGGAAGAATGAAGCTGACATGCATTGACACAATCCGGAGATCCGATCTCAGTAACAACTTGATCAATAATGGACTCCAGAAAAGCCATTCTTGGCTCGTCAATGTCATTTGGATTGCCCGCTGGGACTCGCATATTCCGCTTCACAATGCTTTTCCTTTTTGACTCCACTATTTCACGACAGGATTAAGCAGGGGGTGAATAAGGGCTGAGTTGAAGAACTTCAAACCCAGTATATTGAATCGTACATTCTTGTAATATTCTGTGACAAGAAACATTATCAACCACAAAGACAACTGATGCCACAGAAGACGAGATAGCATCTCGAGAACCCGATTCCTTGCGGTTTCAGTTTTAAAGGCATCTCTTCGAGCGGTGGAGTAAATGACTTTATAGGATAACATCGAAAATAATATCACGTGTACATCTTAACCTTTTCTTCCCCGCCATGACGTTAACATATATCGGCTTTTTCGTGTACGACCTTGGGTTCTTCGACAAAATAAGTTGCAGCTACTTTCGACTATCCAAATTACCAGTCATTGTTCTTGGGGTGAGGGGCTTGCTTTTTCTGCTTGATATCTAAACAGGAGACTTCTTTCATGTAATGAATAGGGCTTGGAGATAATTGTGGCCTGACATTTCGAATTGTATGTAAGTGTGTATGGATGGGCGCCAAATAATTGGCGAGCGCTATAATTAAAATCAGTAGGACTTGCTCGACGTCAGGCGTAACAAGTAGATATTTAGAAATGTTAACTTAGTATGGCACAAGGTCAGGTATCGAGTTTGAGTTCGTGGAAGGGGATTTTGCAACATATCATACCTACTTGTATACTTCGACGTTGTTTAAGTCTTAGCAGGCATGACTAATCAATCAAGACTGAGTAGTGAGTTCGATCCTTATTTCGTGTTTTATGTATGCGACCTTGTGCCACATCTAAGCTACGCTTAGTAAATCGCTATCAAGTCTTCTTCGGTTATTTAATGTTAAAATCTATTTTTCATGAGACTTGTATCTTTAAGTAAACATTACTTGTATTTATACTTGAGTCTATATGTAGACATTATCCGGATCGGGTTTATACTTGAGTCTATAGGCAAATATTATCCAGTTGTACATTTTTGTCTATGGGTAAACATGAGTTGGATTTATACTTGAGTCTGTAGGCGAACATTGGTCAGGTTTATACTTGGGGCTAAAGATAAGCATTAACCGTGTTTATAATTGAATCTGGAGGTAAAAAAAATGAAAGCGTTTTGTGTAAACATTATTCGGGTTTATACTTTTGTGCTTGTCCTGTTTATACTTAAGTCTATAGGTAAACATTGGTCGAATTTATACTTGAATCTATAGGTAAACTGTAACGCTTGAATATATAGGCAAACATTTGGTCGAAGTTATATTTGAGACAATACGCAAATATTGGTCGAGTTTATACTTGAGTCTGTAGGTAAACTTATACTTACGACTATACATAAACATTGATCGGGCTTATACTTGGAAATATAGATAAACATTGATCGAGTTTATACTCGAGTCTATAGATAAAGATTTCTCAAATTTATACTCGAATCTATAATTAAACATTGGTCGGATTTATACTTCAGTCTTTAGACAAAAATAACCAGGTTTATACTTGAGACTATAGGTAAACATCGGCCGGGTTTTTACTTGC